TGTTTATGTGATAATCTGCCTGTTGCATTTCTGCCGGAGTCAAAGCTGCCCTCCAAGATGAGATAAGCTGCCCAAACAAATCAGATTGCCTTGAAATTATTCCGCCGTTCCCTTGTCCTCCAGTCCTGTGACTTAGCACCCTAAACTTGAGCCCTGCCTCACAGCCGCCCCAATTGCTGACTGTCCTGGTGTTCTGTTTTATGTGCACTGTTGTGACTCACACTAATCCCAGGACAGATCAGAGCACGGCAGTGTGAGCCCCTTACTTAGACTGCAGCTCACAAGTGTAAAGCACCAGCTGCCTTCCTCTCCTCGGGAGTTAGGGCACAGCTTGCTTCCCCGGAATTTCAGCAGGTGCCTAGTGGGCAGATGAAACAGCAGCAGCCAGGCAGCGGGCCGTGATGGAGAGAAGAAAAGGAGAGATTCCCGGGCCACTGTCCAAGAAACTAGCTTCTTTTATTTCCCCAGTAAATTTTTTTTTGTGTGTGTGTGAAATAAACTTTTTTAAAAAATTAGTTTCAGCTGTACAACACAGTGCACTAGTTATACTTTTACCCCTCAAAGTGCAAGAAACCAGCTTTGACGGAAGCCAGGGTGAGGCACCTGGTGGTGGTTCCTTAGAGATCTTTGTAGGTTCACACGTGTCTGTCTCAAGTAAAGTTTCCAGCCCTTAGACGAAGGGAACCTGGAGGTGTCGAGCCAGATAATGCCTGCTGGGTCATCTGACGACAGGCACAGGTGCACTCAGCTGGCAAAGTGGTACCTTGGCCCACGGAAGGAGGGAGGCAATGATCTTTTCTATCTGGCTTACCCTATGAAAAGGATCAAGACGCCATTAAAATGCTGCCAAGTCAGACTGACATGACTCCAAATCCATATTGCATTTGCAAGTTTGAGCCTTCCCGGTTCTCTGAGCTGAAGGACCTCAGTAGTTAAGCATGGTGGGTGCCAAAGGATTTGGAAAGTAGGCGAATGGTCACACACGGGTGTGTTTGCAGGGTCCCAGCTTAGTTTCTTCATCCATCCATCTGCTCTTTTACCTGGTCTCTCCCACGCAGCCCGTGCTCTCAGCAGGAAGCAGACGCATCCTTAGGTTGCCAGTTGACAGAAGAGCTCCTGCGCGAGGCACCACCTCTGGGCTGGAGTAGCAAGGACTCCTGGTGGGAAGGTTTTGCTGCTAATGTATTTATGGAATGAATGTATTTCATTCAAATCTGTATTCCTCTAGGAAGGATTAAATAAAAAATTTTTTTTAAATTCAGGATTCTTGTAATCTAATTTTGCAGGAGAGGAATGAGTCATTTAGGGAAAAAAGATGATACAACTTGAGTTGTTTAAGGCTAGTGGTAGAGAGAGCATTTCCTAAGTATTATAGCTTTAAGATACGCAAATACACGTCTGCAGAGTGCATAGACAAACGGCTTCCCGTTTCCAGCTCCTCTGCCCTCTGCTGCCTCCTTGGAGAACTGTGGCGGGCGTACAGTGGAGGGAGGTGGTGAGGTGGTGGGCGGGTGGCTGCCGACACCGGGTCATAAACATAAAGCCTCCGCAGGTCAGGGCAGCTCTGGAGGGGCTGGGCC